TTAAAGCTTAAATCAGGAGATTCAGCCTGAACATTTCATACAAAATATAAAACACATCCCCCTGTGGTAGCACTATTTAGAAAAAAGTGACAGTCAACATAAAGGAACCTTTAAAAGACACTGATGAGCCAAAACATTGGGACCACCAGTCTATTAACCTGTTAGTACTTTCTGTGTGCCTAAACCAGCTTAACCTGCTCATTTCTCCCAAACCCGAGATAAAACCCCGCAAAGCTGGCTGTTCGTGCAGACTGAAACAATTATTCAGGGTGAGAATTTGACTCTATCCCAGGCTACTTCGTCTAACCACATGCGTTATTTAAGCACCATATCTTGTTTCTCCTGAGTGATAAAAAGAATTCACTTTCATGATATGTTTGTGTCTCATTTTGGCTGTAAATTAAAATCAATCAATCAATCAATTACAGCTTTTTTAAGGATATAATTATTAAAGTTATCTGTGATACTAGTAGGGATATGGAAACTCTCTTAAGGTTGAAATCTGTTTGTCTTGTTATACAGATGAGCTGCACAGTCTGTGTTTCAGGATAAGCTAACATTACGAAGTTGCAACAATCAGAGTAGCTGCTGCAGCAGAAGCAGGTTTCCATGCCGTGCTTTGCAGAGAAAAGAGTGCTGGCATGCCAAAGTCCCCCAAATGCTACACTCACCCTGCAGAAAACACTGGCTGGAGACGGCGGCACAACCAAAACGATTGTAACTGTGTCCAATGATCTTGTCGTCTTCACACAGGCTTAAATTATTTATTTAGGGAGTGAGTTTGCAATTGAATGTCAGTTAAGCTGTTTATGATAAATCACAGTTAACTTTGGTAAAATGTTAAAAATCACAAATCTGTTGCTGAGCTACATACACGGAAAACCTAATTTAAGAAAACTTCATATTAACTATTTACAGCCACAGTCCAGCCAGAAGCTCATACATATTAAATAGAAACTCAGATGGTCCAAATAGTGACATAGTTGATTGCAAAATGACGACATAACCTGTCTTTTATATAGAAACATAAGCAGAGAACAACTAAACGGCAGCCAGTGAATCAGATCCTTGATTGCAAACAGATGTGTCGGAGACAAGTTTGCAAGTTTGGTGCAAAATTACACCAATTATTTGCAGACCTTCTCCAGTGACTGCATTCAGTCCGAGTTGGACCTCGATTGTTTGGAGACAAACTGACGCTCACCAGGAGGCTTCTGCAATTGTAAAACAATTGAAAGTGGAAAGTAACCAGCTTGATTGCAACAACAACGAGTTGCAATCATTTGTAGACTGAAAAAAAAAACAAGTGCAATCACTGGACAACCAAGATTTTCCTGGTTGCCAGGAGTTTGGTGTCCAATTTTTACTCTAGTGTTGAGCAAGTGGTTAGACCAGGAAGTATCCTAGTTATTTCCTTCATCTGTGAGTGGTCAAAATGTTTCAGCTCATCTGTGTGCAGGTCATGTTTGTGCAGAAATATAGAAAGCTGAATGAGAATTAACCTTTAAAAAAAGAAACATTTTATATTTCAGATTTAAAAACTGTTAAATTCAATGCATATTTTTACGTTTTAATTCAGATGAATACATTTTTGCAAGATCACTTGAGTAATAATGAGCAGAAGGTGAATCCAGACAGGAAACAAACCCTTTAAAAGTCTGAACCCATGTTGTTTCATTTCAAAAGACCCTCTGAGATTACTGATGTTAAACGATAATCTCACGGGGCTTTTTTAAATCAAACAACATCTGGCAACAATCCACTCACGACAAATGTATTCCACCTGAAGTAAGAAGTGTGTTGCTGATATTTGAAACAAGAGCAGCGACAATTACCACCTTTTCCACCGGGGACGAGACAAGCTGGCCTCATTCGAATGCTCGTTTAACCTGAGTATAATAATCGTCACTCACTGCGGTTGTCTTTGATCTGCAGGATGGGGGTGTACAGGTTTTTGGACGTGCGTCCGTCCGAGGTGGTCGTCAGCACTGTGCTGTTGTTCCTCTCGCCCTGCTGCACGGGGCTCGACTGGTGACGCAAGATATCCACCAGTGATCTGACGCAGCAGCGGGAGAAGCACGAGGGCAGAAAGACAAGAGGAACACAACAGATGTGAGGAGAATAGTGAGAAAAGATCACGTGGAGGAAACATTTTCTCAGTCAGTTATTACTTTACTTCAGAGCACTTTCCAAATGTGTCCAAAGCAATCCTATCATTGAAAATAATGCAGTTACGTTTCACTTTGATCTGTTTGTAAATCTTCTAAAACCTCAGTCTCACGTGTCTTAAAAGCTTTCATGTTCCGCTGCAAACTGAGACGTTTTAACACCTCATATCTGGCTGAAGATCATTATTATTATTATTATTAATATTAATATAATCTCAAGTGTAACATATAATCATTTAACCAAGATAGCAACAACTAGATTAAAAGGAGACATGAATAATTGGTTTCATGGACACAATTTCTGTAACTGAAAGCTGAAATGAGTCTTAAACTTGCATTGCTTCCAATGGCCAGCAGGGGGAGACTCCCTCTGCTGTTCCAGGTTCATTGAAGTCAATGAAAAAAAGACCTCACCGGTCACCTGATTTATGACCTCAGTAAACACCTTCCTGACTAGTTTAGGGGCTCAGTCACTAGTTTCTTGTTTAATATAACAAGCATATTTTATAAGTTATAGTATGGCTTACTTAAAGTAGCTTTTAGGGCAGAAATGACTTGTGATTGATAAGTTAGCCATATGCACATCTACAGGTGACTAAGATGATTCTCTTCAAACTAGGACTTCACCCATTTTTATACGCAGTAATTTCACAGATATTTATTGAACATAAGCATACGTTTAGCATTTGAATTTTTTCTTTTTTTTCTCTGGATGGTCTTTTCTTAGCAGCTTTTAATGCCTGGCAGAATCAGGCTTCACCGTCCGTGCTCCTCGTGGATAGTATCGGGTTTCGTGTCTTTGCTGTACGTCTAAACTGAGAAGCCGAGCAGCCGTCCAGCAGTCTCACCTGGGCATGTTGATGTCTCGGTTTCGGGGTCGACGAGCCACCTTGCTGAAGGCGATCCTGACGCCCACGGCCACCACCACAGTGAAGGAGATCACACCTCCGATCACATAGGCCGTACTGTTTATAGAAAAGAAATGACATCAGGGCACTCAGCAGGAAAAACGACACGCTTTTCAGCTTCTTTTTCATTTTAAAGTAAATTTTCAGTACGATTCGTGTCTCCAGCTTTAATTGGGAATAATATTGTACTTCAAGAACAATTAGGGGCGCATCAATAGAAATTTATAGGTGATACTATTTTTCCTCATTGTTGCAGAATCAAACAAGAACTCTGTTTCGTGAAAAATAATTTACCATTGTTAAAGGATTTTAGCTCCTCTTCAACCAATTTTTTAACACACAGCACAAACTCGCAAATTTTTAGTAAATTTTAAGATTTTAGTGCTTATGCAATTACTTCAACTTGTTTTTACCCTTGATTTCTTATAAATGTGCTCAAAATTAAATGTCCAAAAGAATAAAACATTTATTTTAAAATTTAAAAACATTTAACGCAAATATTACTAAATTAACTTGTTTCTGTCAAGATCGGGAGGTTATTTTGACTAATTATGCCGCTCTTTATTTATCTTAGCTTTCGAGATGATGCTAATATATTGTACTTTTCCTCTGATGGCTCTGTGACTGACGCATCCAGACTCTGACCTGCTGCTCTGCTGCGGAAACGTCTCAAAGTCGGGGTCGGTTTTCACCGCGACCACAGTGACGGGCACCTGCGGGTCAGCCCAGTCGGGGGACTTGTAGTTGGTGCAGGAATCCTGATCTAGCCGGTTCCTCTGGTGCTCGCAGCAGAAGCGGTAGTGGCAGGTGCCGCAGCAGTAGATGTAACTGCCCTGGGAGCAGTTGAACGAGTTGTCAAAGTGCCCCATCACATCATAGTAACCCCTGCGGAGTAAAGTTGGTAAAAAACGTACCATTAATGCCGTCGTGTACCACGCCTCTGCTGCTTAAGAGTCTTCTTTGACCCTGAAAGTTCACAGGATGTGAGCGTTTGGCATGCATCATCATTTCGATTTCTGCCAATACAATCTTCTCCCACATCTTTACCTCCTGA